CCCCCCCGGCGATCCCCCCCCGGCGTTTTTATTGTGTTGTTGTTGTTGTTGTTGTTATTGTTTTTCTTGGCAGATGGGAGTTCAAGAACCCCACCCCCTTCCTGCGCACGAGGGAGTTCCTGTGGCAGGAGGGGCACACGGCGCACGCCAGCTTCGAGGATGCGGACAAGATGGTGATCCAGGCGTTGGAGTTGTACCGCAGGGTATACGAGGAGCTGCTGGCGGTTCCGGTTATCATGGGTGAGGGGGAGACAGACAAGAGACAGAGACAGAGAGACAGATATATCGTGTTTTAGATATCAAAACACATGCCACTCTGTCCAGAAATATATTGCACCATTGTGGTATTCACGCTTGTATTTGGCACGGGATGGGATACCGTAACCATGGGGCGGGATGACGGGGTTCCGATCGAACAACGAGTGCTTGGATCCGCCTTGGTATCGTCTGTTCACCGTAAGGGAGGCGCTCTATCATACGCGGCCTTTCCAGCAGGTATCGCGAAACGATACTGGCCGCCTTTTAGAGCGAGTGACTGAATAGTTCCGCCGCCTCTTTCAGAATGTGCACCCGTTAAATGTAATTTCCTCCGCCTCTTTGAGATTGTTCCGACCTGGCTTGAAGGGTGTAATCTCGTCGGCGTTTTTATGAATCCACCAGTCCACCCACGAAACGACTCTCCTTTCCCATTTTTGAGACGAAGAGTGATTCCACACACAGGGGACCCCGGCCTTGTAAAGATGGCGACCTACGTACGTAAGTGCGTACGTCGATCTCTCCTAGAGTGCGAAGGGACAAGCGAACCTTGTGTGTGTCGGACGATGCTTCTTTGCTGATTGGGCGCAGGCACGAAGACGGAGGCGGAGAAGTTTGCGGGGGGCCACAAGACTACCACTGTGGAGGCGTACATCTCGGGCACTGGCAGGGCCATCCAGGGGGCCACCAGCCACCACCTCGGACAGAACTTCGGCAAGATGTTCAAGTGAGTTTTTGATGAACGGACCAGAGTTGGTAATGTTCAAGTGGGTTGTTTGTTGAAGCTAGATTGGGATGAAAGAGACGGGGACTTGGTGCAAAATGTTCAAGCGAGCTGTTCGTCAAAGCCGGGACACGGAGGTTGATCCATACGATAGGCGGCAAGTGAAGAATACGCAGACAATCGAACCAGGAACAACATGCGGAGTGACTTACGAAGAATTCAAGTAAAAGGCTCGGTAGAGCTACCGATTCTGGCTTTGAGCTGGAGAATAGCAGAGCCTTCCCCTGCTCACGGGGTCCCAGATCATGGCCTTTAGAAGCATTTCCCGCTTCTTTGGCAGCACGACGTCGTTGATTTGATCAGCCGGTTAGCGCGGTCGATGCTAATATCCAAACACCCACGCTTGTCTTACCCTCTGGATGCGTCTCATGATTGTGTTTCTCCTTTTCTCTTGTGCTTGTGCGTGCAAATGTAACGCACGCAGGATCCAGTACGAGGACGAGAACGGAGAGCAGGCAATCCCGTGGCAGACAAGCTGGGGCCTCACCACAAGGTCAGGCGTTTCGCGCGATATTTGGTCGCTTGATTTATCTAGGCAACAATACTTCGTTCGTGCCTACTTTCGCATTGCTGCTGTATACTTCTACGGAAAGGGCTGGGGGCCTTTGGCGGCTATGGGCGCACCGCCATGGTTGTTGCCGTCCATTATGTTTCATCATGTCTGCTCGTACCTCTCTTTTTCCAACAAAAATGGAGAAATCATTTTCTAGTGACTTGGGTGCGTGTTTGGTTGAATTGACACGAAACGTTCGTCTTCTTTTTGTTGCTACCCAGCTTGCACGCAGCAGGCCTTGCCAATGTTGGCTATTAGTACAGTGACGGAGTGATTTTAGTAGACGGACCGATTGATTTTTGTGAATTGACAAGTGATTTTAGTAGAGGGACGAGTGATTTCAGTTGAGGGACCGAGTGATTTTAGGGACCGAGTGAACGAACGGCTAGTATGTAGTGTTGCATTCCGAGCACAATATCGTGTCGTTATTGGTCGTGTCTCTGGTGGCCTTGTCGGAGAGTGTGTGCGTGGTGATGCTTATTTATCCCGTCTATCTACTTCGCCTCTGCTTGCATCTTTTTGGGTGTGCGGGTGTGTCTTTCTTGTTTGCATCTACCACGCTAACCGGCAGACCAATGAACGACGTCAGTCTCTGAGTGCGGTGGAAACCACAAGATGCTTCTATCTAAAGGCCACAATCTGGGGCCCTGTGACCGAGCGTCCTGGACCGGTGTCGTGCTTGTCTTGTTCTTGTACCTGCAGGACTCTCGGTGTGTGCGTCATGTGCCACGGGGACGACCAGGGCCTGGTGCTGCCTCCGAGGGTGGCTCCCCTGCAGGCCGTCATCATCCCCATCGTTACCAAGAAGGTACAATATTGTATTCTTGTTGATTATTATTTGTATCGACCGAACTGATCGGCTGACCAATGAAAAGACGTCAGTCTCTGGTGTGTTTATGGCACAGCAGTCTTCTCCCTCTCATACCTAACCTTTTGGCTCGTAGTCAAGGAGTGACAATGAAGCTCGGGTGGAAATCCAGACAAGGTGTTATTTTCGGTCTTGGACCAATGAAATCTTCATTCTGATTTCTGCTTTTGATGTTCCGCAATGCGTTTAAGACAAAAAATATAGGTATCAGAACATCGGCATCAACCCCGCTGCTTTTTTTTCTGCTACCGCGCCACATACCCGATCTCTCTCTCTGTCTATCTTTCTCTCTGTTCCCCTCCATCCTACCCCTCTCTCGGCCGTGTCCTCACCCGTTTTCCCTGGCGTCGCCTTTGGTCGCCCTTGTCTGGTCGTTGGTTGGTCAGGTGAAGCTGGAGACGATCGTTGAGTTCGCAGACCCCATCGTGAAGAGCCTCAAGGCTGCCGGCGTGCGAGTCAAATTTGACGACAGGATTAACTACACCGCCGGCTGGAAGTGAGATGTTGACTTGACTTGATTGCCCTCTTGTGCTTCATTTTTTTTTTATCACGAGATTTTGCGCGGTTTTCCGTTGTCCAATCGAGGGCCGCAGAGCAGTTTCGTCCTTGTACATGGGCTGTGTCTTCGCACGTATTACCAGACAGGTTTTTATTTAGTTCAAACGAAACCGTCAAATGTGTGTGCAGTTTGTCTTGTGTCACTTACCAGACGAGTTTGGGGGCTTCGCAGACTGTCTTTTTCGTCGCGGAGCAGTACCCGCATGGGTTCTCGGGTCTAATGTCCGGTATCCTCACGACGGGGGGTCGGCGTTGCACACGGTTGTTTGTCAGCTCCGAAATAACAATATTTTGTTGGCCGACGTTCAAGGGTGGGCTTGGACGCTGGATGATGGATCGCACAGAGAGGGCTCTGCTGTGTACAGTGCAGTACACACAAACCATGGTATTTGATTGTGCACGCGGACGACCTTCGGCCATCATGTTTAAGCGTCCCATTTGGAAATTGATCTCGTTCAGTTGGGTGTTCTCCAGACTGGAGTCCGAAGGCCAACTTCTCGGTTGCAACGACACGCAGGTACAACCACTGGGAGCAGAAGGGGGTGCCCATTAGACTGGAGGTGGGGCCCCGCGACATCGAGAGCAAGCAGACGGTGATGGCGAGAAGGGACACCGGGGAGAAGATCACGGTGCCCGAAGACGAGATCACGTCCAAGGTGGTGGAACTCCTCGAGACAATCCAGGTGTGACCGGCTGGACCCCGCCTGTAACGGTTTTGTGTGTTTCGTTTGAAGGATGTCCGTCCGCGACTCGACGGAGTTCGGGTGTGGTGGCAGATGCCCGGGAAAGTAGCTTTCCACGGCCTTCTCGGAACCGTCCAGGTGGCCCTCCAATGATAGTGTTCGATTTCGAGCATGTCTGTGACAGACTTCGGGTGTGGTTGGGGATGTCGCGGGGGAGTCATATGAGCGATAACCACCTTCCTGGTACCATCCAGGTGACCATCCAGGAACTTTCCTCAAACACAGTTTTTTGGGACCCGGTGACGGATGTCCTTGATACCCAACCAGGGTGAATGCAGCTGAGGAAACTTGGCGACCAGGCTCTGCATGTTTAACGAACGCGGTGAATCGGTCTAGGAAACCGCAACATCACGCATTAGAAAAACTGAGACTGCTAAGTATATCGGAAATGGTGAACCCAGGGGCCAAATTCACCCACAAGTCATGCACAGAAAAAAAGCTTCGCATGTAAGTTGTGGGTGGTGAATTTGGCTCCTAGGTTCACTGGTTCCGGTATACTTGTATTTTAGTCTCAGTTTTTCTAATGCGTGATGTTGCGGTTTCCTAGACCGATTCACCGCGTTCGTTAATCATGCAGAGCCTGATCGCCAAGTTTCCGCAGCTGCATTGACCCTGGTTAGAGTTCAAGGAAGTCCGTGACAGGGTTCAATTGTGGTAAGGGATGCCGGGGCGGAGCAAAGCGAGCTCGCTCCCTACTCACGGCCTTGTCGTCGCAAATCGCAGGGTTTGACTGGTTGATGGGGAAGAGAGGCCTCTGTGATGTAGCAGGCCAAGTCGATACGCGTGAAGGAGGAGCTCGTTTGATTGTCGGCTATGCGTGTTTGGCCGTGGGGTCGCTTGCTTCTGTTTTCTCGATGACATCCTCCAGTTCACGGATTGGCTGCTCCTAACCCTGGCCGTAATTGCGAAATGGCTTTCAGGCTAACCTTTTGGCTAGGCTGACAGCAGAACGCGACGACCACTTCACGCGCGTCACCGAGTGGGCGGAGTTCGTCCCGGCGCTGAACAGGTGAGCATGTACTTTCCGGCGTTGGTGTTTGTTTTGGCGTCATGCTCTCGCGTACCTGTGCGTTCTCTACACCTCCGCTGACTTCATGTTTCGTACGTCTCGCTCAGGGTCTGTACCCATACCTTTGGCTCTTGTTTAGGATGTTGCACTGCACGACATATGATGCTTTGTACTTGGAAGTACTCAAGTACACGGCGGTTGGGTGTCTATTGTGTGCTCATCATCCCCAAACGACGTGGTTGCGGCAGTGCTTGGGTATATTATATACCATGTATTTTCTTGGGGCTGTAGTTTAGGGCGGGATCACCCTCGATGGTGCTGTACCACTATGCCCCTCGGCCTACTTCGTTTTTGTCTGTCATCGAACAACGGATAGGCATCTCAAGCTCGCTTCCAAATTCTGCTCAGCGGCAACCGCTGTTCAAACATCAAAGCAATGAGTTACCAGACAGTCTCTTGCGTTGGCAGCGTTAACGAGAAAGCGTTTTCCACACTCCTCGGACAAACAATCGTTCGCTCAAACTCCTGGGAGCAATGCGGTTCTCCTCGAGATGACAGCAGCTACACACCACGTCAGCAACCGCGGCAAGCGGATCCGAAACTACGAAGCCCAAGGCGCACGCACACGTGACGAACGATTTTCACCAACTGAACACGTGGTTTTGCGCAGGAACGACATCGTGCTAACCCCGTTCTGCAACGAGACCGAGTGGGAGGAGAAGGTGAAGACCCTGTCCCGCGCCGAGGCCCTGAAGGAAGGCGAGGTGGAGCTGGCGACAACGGCAACCTCTGTGGCCGCGAAGACCCTCTGCATTCCCCACGACCAGGTGATTCAAAGGCACATCCCCGTTTTTTTTGCTGTGGTTATCTCTGGAACGGGAAGTTTGCCTGTGACTCAAACGTATATTTTTTTGGAAGCACGGCCGAAGAACATAGGGTGAGCATGGCTTCGAGGAAGGATATTTCATCAGTTGAGTGGGCTGCTCGTTTGTGGTGAATAATGAGATTGTTACCGCCAAGTCACTGCTGTGTAGCGGGGTTTTGCTTCCTGGGAACAAGAAACTATGGGTTTCTTGGTTTGTGGCAACGTCGGGAAGGCAGGAGTTGGCGGAGTAGTGGGTCCGCGATTTTGCTCGGTTGATGAAGGCGGCCTAGTCCTTGTGGTTGCGTCTCTAGCGCTTGTGATTGTCGTGGTCGTTGATTTCGAGTCTCGATGTTAGCTTGTAGCGGTTGGCTGTTCGCGTTCAAGAAGAGGCCCGAATGATGCCCTTTTTAGCGTTGTCATCGGGGGAATAACACCTGATTCGCTTGTTTGTCGAGGGTGCACTTGGAGGGTACATACTTTGGCTCCCAACTTGCCGGCTCTTTATGTTGAAAGGTTCTAGCGTGCTAGCGATACACTTGTTTGGATTCGTTAGTGTTCCGCTGACCTTTGGACCCTCGTTGGCGGGTGGCGGACTGTCCCTCACACCCTCTCACACCCGTCACGCCCCCCCCTGCCCGGACAATGTCGAAACGTGTCTTTTTTTTCCTTCGTCTTTTTCTGTGGTCTGCAGCCGGATCTCCCCGAGGGCACCCCATGCTTCATCAGCGGAAAGCCGGCCACGTGCTGGGTGCTATGGGGGCGGAGCTACTGAGAAAGTTTTTGCCTCTTTCTCCTTTCGTTTTCCGGCCCAGGGGTGTTCGCAGTTGGGGTTGAACCTGTGTTGTCGGTCCCCCCCCCAGGACGTGTCGATGCCGGTGGGCGTGCGAATAGCTGTAGACGGAGGAAGCTCGGAACTGCTCGTGTAACTGTGTAGCTGATGCCAGCATTGGCCGGGGTTAGGGTAATTGTGTTTTGCGCCATTGCTTTTGTCTCTCAAGGAATGGCTGAAAGTTAGGAAATTGCTCTAAGCTACTTATAAAGTCGGGATGCTTCGGCATCATTGCCATGCACGTTCTCTCGGAATCCGGGGTGAACCGCCGACCTGGTGTAGGCTATCGTCCTACTCTGTTCGAAAAGCCCCACTGGAGCAAAGGTGGTGTGCATGGTGCGAAACGACTCTATCTGGCGAGTTAGCTACCCTTTAACGCTTTGTGCTCTGTCGTGGGTGAGACTGCTGTCCCGCATGTGGTCCGCCATGGAGCATTGTATGCATACGGTTCCCGGGGCGTTGTTAAGGAGTGCCCGGCTACGTTGTCACACCTTTCTTGTTTTTTCTATTTTGTCGGTTAGGCCCCTCGAATTTTATTTCCCGTGTCTCCCAACCTGGCATCGCGCGGTCCAGAAATTTCCGTTGTCCTTCCAGGTCGTTCTTTTCCGATTCCGTTTGGGCATTTTTTATTTTTTATTTTTTCATTTTTTTCTGTGCTCGCGCTTTCGGTTGTAGTGCCGATCCTGTGCCTGCAACTTGGTCCCCGATTGTATCCTACTATGCATATTATGCTTCTTTTGTTTGTCGTACGGGCATTCCCGAACGCAAGTGTTTTTTTTTTTTCTCCCATCATTGGACTCTGTCGTCTGCCTCTCTGGCCCCAATCCTCCACTTCTACTAGCTAGACGACCCAACCGGGGTCACATAGGAGGGGGGGGCTGGACCCCCTCCTGCGGTTCCTGCCTGAGGTATTTTTATCGCGAGAAGGGTACAGCAATCCCTTCCCTCGCGACTTACGAAGTCGATAATGGTTTACTAACAACGAGCGCTGCAACGTGCTGCTTTCATCCTACACCAGGATTTATTTTGTGAGAAAAAACTCACTCTCCCGGGACTCGAACCCATGACCTGGCCCTTAGCAGGCTGCGAGGTTACCAACTAGAAACTAGACCACCGGGGCGACCAGTGTGCGGCTGTGAAACTGCTCGATACGCGGAGCCTGTTTTGTTTCGTTCGGTTGGACTCGATGTTATCCTGTGCACCTGTGCACATGTTGTACGGGGGCCCATTGTCGAGGGGAGGGGATCGGCAAACAAAACTGGTGACGTCGGCTCTGTTGGGCTTGGGAGACTCGGTGAGGTTAGCTTGGTTGGCTTCCGAGGCGGGGTCGGCGTAGCCGCGGTTTGCCTCCCAGCGGTGTGTCACCGTGTTTTTTTTTGGGAGCGTTATGATAGCTCTTTACGCGGATACTCACGAGAAGGCGAGAAGGGAGTCAAAATCCAGGGTGTGAAACTTTTGAAGGGCCGACACGTGGATGGATTGATGGGCCAGAGGGACAAGGCGATGCACTCCTTCCCTTCCCCAGCTCGACCACCAACGTATCTGCCCCCGATACATCAGTTCTCCTACCTGTGTGCTGGACGTAAATGCACCATGGTCCATATATCGTCCTACGGAGTGAGATACACGAATGGATTAGCACGAGGTTTCGGCACCATCCAACGTGAACTACACTGCATATGAGGATCTGCATAGAATGCGGGATCTAGCGCGTGGTATCATCACATGTAAGGATTTTTCACGTGGGGTTCCGGGATAGTCGTGTTGTATGCATTGCATCTATGATACGCAATACAACGCGCGCTGTGGGGAGCCAGCCCATCAAGAGCGGTTTGCTTTGCACTTCAAACCAATGATGGTAATGCTGTTTATGAACAATTTCCTACTTACATGCATACGGCACTCCTTGTACATATCATCTTATCATGGAGGTCCCCGCCACTTCGAACACCGGAAAAAATAACGAGACTCAAGTCTAGACTTGAGAAAAAGTATTTCCTACTTACATGCATACGGCACTCCTTGTACATATCATCTTATCATGGAGGTCCCCGCCACTTCGAACACCGGAAAAAATAACGAGACTCAAGTCTAGACTTGAGAAAAAGTATAGACTATTGCTGTGTCGCTCCACGAAGACTCCAAAAAGGCATAGGGTGGGGCGGCAGGAATGGACAAAAGTTGTTGAGGTTGTCCTGCCTGCCGTTCTTTGCGCACAGCACACGACTCCATGGGCAGCGTCCGCCCAGCGGCACGCCAACACCCCCCGCCGAAAAAAACGCGGTGACACTCCACTTATGGTCCGGAGTGTTCTCAGAACATTCCTAGGACGAATGATGATGATATTCAGATCGCGCGCCCGCCCGATGACGATGGCTGATGAACCGGCGTTGATAATCTGTCCTTTGCTTTCGTAGAACCTGCAACACACAGGCATCGAGCTGCAGGCATCACCGAACGGCGGTGCGGGTCGCCATTATTACTCCGAACCTGCGCCGCACCATCATCCCTACCGATGGCGACTGCTAACCTACCCCCGACCGCGTATGTTCCGGTAGGCAGCGAATTCGACGGAGGACGACCCCTAGGCGAAAGAGTCCGTTTCAACGGGGTGGGCGGCGTCAGGAAGGATTGGTGGTGGCAGCCAGGACCGGTTGATTCGTGAGTGCGTTCGGTACCACATTCTTCTAGTTTCAGCATGGGAAGCATAAGCATGCGTGGGTGTATGGCTTTTAATGTGTTTGTGTGCGTCTTTTTCCCTTTGGTGTGTCTCGTTCGCGACCCATGGGTGCTTCTGGTCCCAGACACGAAATTGCATATTGCGGGGCGCCAAGAGTCAAACCAACGCCGTTGCGAGAGAGTTCAACCAACAGCCCGTTCCAGGTTACATGGTGGCCATGCGGCGATCCAGTTCGGCCAACCTGCTTGAGACTCTGCAACTTTCCCTGTCAAGCATCACCAAGACAGAAGGCCCTTTTGGGGTCGTAATGTAGTTCAATGGGTGTTTGAGGTTGTCGGACGGATTTGTTGGAAAGCGCGGACCGCCGAGGCGGAGGCATTTTCATCAGGTGCCGGCCCATACGCTACCAATGCCCACCTTTTCCACACGTCCCACAGCAGTTTGTCTACACCCTGTGTTTGTTGTTATGCTTAGTCCCGTACCTATTTTGCGCGCCAGTCTTTATGTCGACAAGTTTGGTATGACACACCTCAGTAGCCGGGGATCACCCCTAGCGGCGGGCCAACATTTTTTTTTGATGATCTCCTTACCCCCTGCTAGCCGGGGATCGACTTTTTTTTTTCATAATCTCTTTTGCTCCCTGCGTTCGTGGTGCACAGCAGTAATTCCTTCGTTGCACCGACTTGTGACCCCCGCGTTTTCTCACGGCACAACATGTATTAAGTTGAACGAGCGCAATTCCGAACAAAAAAACAGTTGATAAACTGAAACGAGGAAGAGCAGCGGCAAGCAGTCATTACCCCGATTTTCCCTTGAAGATATTCGGGTGTGGAGGCCACAGAACCGAAATCGGTGTTCAGCTCCGACCTTGTTGATTGATGCTCGACGCTACATACCTGTTGCGTATAATGGTAGAGGGGCATCATGAAACAGTGACGTGCATCCGCATTGGCACGCCGAGATCTGTTGTTGTACTAGTGGGAGGATGCGCAGTCAGCGAGGCTGCAGCGGCCCGAAAAGTCCGCAAATCTGGGCCCCTGTGCGACGTACCATATTCACGATCCACTGCTGACGCGCCATCACAGACACCCCCCCCCAGACTCTGCGGTTCGTTCCAAGGCGCCCGTGTGTGGGCTACATGTACATCAAATAACGGGCACAACAATCGTGTGTGTAGATTTTTTCCGCCATGGACCTCGCCACGGCTGGCTGTGACTCATGGGAAGTTCCATGCTTCTCTCATGGACACTCGCCAGGATTGTGTTGTCTCATCAAATGGTCTGACCCCCGCACCTGAATGGCGGCTTTCGCATTGCTGCAAACGTCCCCGACACGGTTCGCCGCGCGCACGTGGATGCGTGGACCTGCTGCGGACTTAATAAAATTTGGCGAACTCCAGGTGCTGCTGCTGTTTCTCTCTTGCCGCAGGTAAGAATGCCCGTCCTGTAGTTCACAACTTCTGCAGGTGAAGCTTTCCACTCATTGTGGAGTTTGACTATTGTGAGCTATATACGTGGGGCGAAACAATTGCCTGGCACTGCTGGCTGGTACAATGTCCGGTGCTTCGACGGGTAGGAGCAGAAGCTGCTATCCCGCTCTGTCCAAAGACTTCAAGATATCCTATATCGGTGTGTAGCGACAGCAATGCTCACGCGAAGAATCGCAGTATTCAGCTCATTCTCCTGCTTTCTGTATTTCTCTCTCTCTCACTCTCTCTATCCAGGCGTGGCAGTTCTAGCGGCCCTCGATGTTGTTCTTGGGGCCATGAGTCTGTATAACTTGAGCTTCAAAACCGGGGACGCTGGCCTGCAGCAACTGCTTGCGGGCTTGGAGAAAAAGGTGAAAACGCGGTAGTTTCACTTTTTAAACCTCCACGGGCTTGTATAGCACGCTATGGAGTGACGCGTTGCTACCTCCACGTTGCCACCATCCTGATCTCTTTCCGCAGCCGCTTCCTTCACGATTCTTGCCTGCGGTGCATCCATAGTCACACACGTGTTGTTTGCTCACTAGCCAGGAGCGCGGACATCTCTTTCCCTGCCTGGGTTGTGCTTGCGCCAAGCATGCGCCATTGAAATTGAGAATGCTCGCCGGTGTTCATCCCGTGTTTGCCACGATCTTTGTTTCTTGCAGTACGCCGAGGAGTGCGAAGATGTTGCCGAGGCGTCGCCCGACTGTCTTGCGCAGGCGTCGATAATCCTCAGCCTCAACAAGACGCATGACCTCTACGTGCCCGCAGTTTTGCAAGGTTGGTTAGCACAGCTTGCCTTGTTTTTGGCCGGTTGAACAAGTACAGACCATCGTTGGCATCGCCCGCGTGCTTTCTTGCGATAAAATGGGCACTCCTGAAGACTTGTGCTGCTGCCGACGGAAACGAGTCAAAGAATACTGCAAGAAGAAATCCGCACAAAGGCAGCAACCTTGGCAGGTCATGCGTGTATGTAAACATGTTAGGTTAGATAAAGCATGCAATCGGGGAAGTCGGCTTAGGGTTAGGGTTAGGGATAGATCCCTGCCTGATTTGATCTCCTCATGAACGTAATTTCTCGCGGAAACAGTCCCACGAAGAACACCGTAGTCTACCATCAGACCAACTTGTTCCAGGTGAACGTCATGAATCATGGCACCCCGTTCAGTATCATGTGGGCGGCGGCCTCATACTGTGAGAAGCCACAGCTCGAATGGCCATGCAACGATGAACTTCGCGAGCGTGATGCTCAGCCCCGAACAATCCGTAATAGAAAATGCGTTGGGTTTGCGCCGCCTTGTAGCTTGTGGAAGGTTCCGTTTCCCTGTGTTCCCACTTCGCCGCGGCGTACGTTCGATTCGCCACGGCCAAGCGATACGGAGATGGCGCCCATGTGCAGGAAATCCCGCAGGTTATGGTCACCACCACCCTCAATTTGATGATTGGATAGCCAGGAAGAGGTCCCTGTGACACCGTAGGCCGGTATGTCATGGTGCGTCTGGTTCCCTGGGCTTCAGGTGGGATGTGGCGCCCCGGGAGTTCTGTGTCGGTGCTGGCACTGTGTAGGAGGGGCGGGTCCTGACTTTGGCCAATCAAAACATGAGACAGGGTGCTGACGTTGCTGGCATCGGGCTGCCTCAAATCGTCCCCGTTGTTCAGCACAAGGGACCATCTGCAGGACCCCTTCACAACTTCGATCAACAACTCCGTCTTGCTGGAGAGCCATGCGGAGAGTTGTAACAGCGTGCTGATTCATTTGATGCTCTGCTGCATCAATCCATCTGTCTATGCACCGACCAAGCTCGTTTGCCCTTGACCACGAAAAATTGTGTCCTTCTTGGCACCGGGGTGCTGCGATCAACAACAGGCGTGATTGCCGCCATTTTCGGATTTGTCGGACTTCGGGCCGTATTTGCCCACGATACCCGCGCTGCAAGGGCATACCTGTGGTCTTGGCCGCCGAGAATCGTGCTGACACTGGTAGAGCTGGTGATGCAACGGATCAGGCTCGATCACTACGACATGGGATTTCTCTGGATATTGGCCGTGGTTTGGAACATCCCGCGCGCTCTCATCCTTGCCTACTGTCTCAAGGTGGGTTTGTCGCGTAAGAGTTTGGGCGAAATACAAGGATCAGTATCCATGAGGTCGGTCGATCCCGCTTGAACGACACCCACTACTTGGTTTCAGACAAGCGTCGTAGCCCAGGAAGCACAGGGAAGCGTCCCGTAGCACAGGGAAGCGTCCCTACGATCCAGGAGATGGTAGTTCAACATCCCCTGGGGCGGCGGAGACGTTCCATGCTGCATTCGGACAGGCGCGTCCATCTTCCGAAACTCCCACGCGTGCGACAAGGTAGCAGGTCGTGGCGTGCTGCTGAACGCTGTGCAATATATTGGTGTGCTTTTTGTGAGAACGATGTCCACGACGGCTGATTGTGTGATGCTCTTTCCATCTGTGCACAATGTGTTAAGGCCAACGCTTCCATCTGCGTCGAAGCCTAGCGCGGTACGTGTACGGTCGGTTGCAGACCGTTAGTTCGTTCGTACCCTGGGTTAATTTCAATTTCACTTCCCATACGAGACGACACAATCTAAGAGATGCAAGTTGTATCATTTAAACTCTGACAACAATGAATTCTGCGATATTACCGCCGAACATGCTCGTACTGTTCCGAAAGAACACTGAGCTCGTGGTTGCTGTCTCCACCCTGCTTTCACCATGGTAGTCGTTGGCTGGCATCACTTCCGGTCGTTGTTTTCAGCTTTGTGGTGTACTTGCTTTCCTCTTCCCGTCGTCTGGACGCCCCTGTGCGCCAGGTGGCGTGGTCGTTTTGGGTGGTGGTTCGGAGAAACAATCGCGCTGCCGCAACGGCCGCGGACACCTCGGGGAGCATCGAGCTTGATGGGTCCCGCAGCTCTGCCGTGTAAGGGTCGCAAAAGCATCCAACAGGCAATGCACACGACGACCCGTGTGTGATATGCATCCGTGTTCAGTGGGAGCAGCTTTTCGCAACAGTCGGCACGAGCAGGAACGTGAGAATACTCTATAGCGAAACGAGACCCCGAGTTGCCCCCAGGATGGCTGCTGTAATAGAAGTGATCGCATGGCACCTCCTCCAGCTGCCCCTCTAGGCTATTGCCCCCCGAGATATAGGCAACGTAAATTTCGGGTCAAGGCTCATTTTTCTTACTTGGTCGTCACCGTCAAGCACAGGTTGCAATGTAAAATAGAGTTTGTGTGAGTAGAGTTTAGTGGATATTGAGCCTCTCTCTCATATCTGGCGACTGTTTTTTCGATTGCGGGCACCAACGGTGTTATAGCTCGATCATGCGGAGTGCCAGCAAACATGTAGATGTCCTGGTCATTTGAATCCGGGTGCGCCACCTTGCGTTGGTTGCTTGCGGTATTGGGTGCTTCCGTCGTCGTCACACGTGCACAGAAGGGAGGTTGCCAGTCGTGACAGGTATCAATCTGGCACGAGCGGCGTCATTGTTATGGACAACTGCTGTACCGACGAATTTGTCCGGTGGCGTGTATGTTGAGTTTCTGTCTCGATAGTTTCGTCTGAGGCAAACAGGTGGACGCGCTTGGTTCATGTGGACTATTCCGTGAATGTGTTGGATATTTGAAGATTCAAACAGTTTTGTAAGTTTTTGCAATGGGCGATGTTGGAAATCTGGGTTGGACTGAAGCTTTAGGGAGATGTTGGAAGTCTGCTGCCCACACGTTTTACTTTCGTCACGTTCTGATCTTGTCCTATTTATTTGCACTCCGGTCCCTATCAGGAGCCCCATCGTCGCCTCTCCTCTCGTGGGCACCGCTTCACACGGGACTTGTTGTTGTTGTTGTTGTTTCTCACATTAGCTCTATAGTCCACAAAAAATGGGGAGCCCGTGGTCTCAAAACCCGGCACATACGACGCCGCGAGAAAACAAAAAACAAAAATAGGATACAAACCACTCGGAAAAAGAAAACAAAATGATCGAAAGAAAGAAAAGAACAGGTATCGCACCTACTGTTCGAGAAAAGAGCCCTCGGACACCGATCA